CCGCACCTGCCTGGTAAGTGCAAGGTCCTGAGTTTGACCCCCAGTACCAAAAAAAAGGCTGTGGAAATAACTGGATTATAAAATAATTATGTGTTATCAGACATTCACTCATGGGAGCAACTAATATGCATTGAATATCTACGTTGTACAAAGAATTGTGAAGCAATGTCAGGACAAGAAAAATAGATACCAGTTCTTTCCTCTGGGAGTTTATGGTAGTTGCAGGGGGAGGGGGACTAAACCACACAGCATGAACAAATGCATGTAGTGACATAGGGCAGCAAGGGGCACAAAAGCAATACTGATGGAGGGCTCCAGCAGCTCAGAGGACAAAGACTCTGCTCTCCTATGAAGTGATCCATTGGGAAATGCCCCAAGGAGAAGGTGGCAGATCAGCTAGGCTCAATGAGCCATAAAAGGCAGGTGCATCTTAATCATACCCTCAGAACTGAATTTAATTATTGAGCAAATACCTGTGTTAGGTACCATTGTAAGCCCTTGATAAACATGGGTTTCATTTACTTCTCACAACAGTCTTTTGAGGTAGGTCTTGTATAATTCCCATTCCACAGATAGAAAATAGGTATAGAGATTAAGTAAATTGCCCCAAATCATCCTTAGAATCCATAAGTGGAGGAACCAGAAATCACAGTCAGCTCTCTCAGATGGGAAGCCCCTCTACCTTAGCCCACCCAACTCTCCTTAGTGGGGAGGCACTTCCCCCACCAAGATTAACTCTTCTAGCCCTAAAACCATCATTGCTCTCTCTCACCCCCTTGTGTCAAGGATGACTCAATATCTGATTTCCCAGGCCCTGGGCCCCAGACTCCATACCCTCCTCTAGGATATCAGGCCAACAAAGTCCACTTCATTTGTTGCCTCCCCCCAATCAAGTAGCCCAATGCCTTCATGAGGTCAAAATGATTGTGATTCTTGGGAATTACTTTTGGAAATTTCCGACATTGTAGGAACAAGGGGGAGAAGTGGATGGCAACATTTTTAGTTATGGGAAACTTTGGATCCTTTCTTCGCAAATAATACAGTGATGTGAATGGTTCTATATGTAGCAGAAACTGTTAGTTCCCTCTCCTAACAACTTGTACAAGGACAAGTATTTGTCTGGCGAATACAAGTGCTAAATGTGACAGCTTGACCTCTTAGCTACTCTTTTAAGGCTGTCCTCTTGAAGGTTCCCACTATTTCATTTCATACAGGTTTTATTCTTTTCTGAATTTCCAGTAAGAACAGTTCTAGGGCCAGTGATGTAGCTCAGTGGTGCCACTCCTGCCTGGCAAGCTTAAGGTCCTGAGTTCGATCACTGGTTCGGGGGAGAGGGAGGGACACAGTTCTAGCTGCTAGGGGCACAGTAATGGACAAATCAAATCCCAGCCCTCTGAACTAATTTCTAGATGGGATATTGGCAATAAACAAATACATAATATGAGTTTAGGAGGTGATAAATTCCATAAAGGAAATAAGCAGACACAGCTGATAGTATGAAGAGGGTTTGTCTTTTAGATAAAATGACCAGAAAGGCCTTTTGAGCACCAGAAAAGTGACATTTGGGCAGAGACAGGAAGAGTGAGGGAGTAAACCATTGGAAAAGAACCTTCCAGACAGCACACCAATCCCAAGTTCCTGGGTAGGGCACATGCTCTGCATGTTGGAGGACCAGCAAGGAGACCACTGTAGGACCCTGTAGAGAGTTGAAGAATGATTGAGCTCTGGTGGGGTTTTTTTTCTCAGTACTTTCTGGGTACAGTGATGACCATACTTCTCATATTTCCCAGAAGAATCCCAATTTTATGAATCTTAGTCTTATTGAATGATTCATTGAACTTGTAACAAAATGTGATTTTGTATGCTTTTGAATGTATGCTTTTAAAAGATTTTCCCTAATAAATATAAATCCAGATGTCAGAAAAAATGTCCTTTGTCATCTGTCTCAATTTAGAATTCATAAAATAAAAATGCTTTAAAAATTATGTGTTTGATCTTTAATCGAGGCCCCCTCCTTCTGGTTCTTGGTAATCCTCTGGGGTAAGAGGATCCAGGTCAAATGAGAATAAACAGATATACCAACTAGTTAAAAGAAAATCTATACATTAGCTTAATTTCTCAGATTTAGATAGCCTCCATGTCAATCAAGAAGAGGATCTTAAGGGAGTGAAATGTTTTCAGAAATTTCTGTTGCATGTACCTTGGCAGATTGAACTCTAATAAAGTCAATAGCAAATGCCCCTATTTTATCATGTTAACAAATTGAACTCAAGGTCATTTCTAAGCAGACAATCTGTGATATGTCCTCCAACATAGCCCAGTGGGCTTAGGGGGGTTATCCATCATCGGTCCTTGTCTGAGTACTCCACCACTCACGAAGCAGATTGATATAGTATATTAATACATCCATAACATTATGATTAATATCAAGAGTCTGACCTTGGTTATGTCAAGATGAAACATACAAACTATATATGAGTAGGCAAGAGAAATCTCATACATGCTCCAAGCCTAATCACATCACCAGTACACAGTTATATACAGGCTAACATGAAGAAAATGATTTGTAAAAGCATGAAACTCTTCTTTGAATACCAGTTCTGCAACTACAGTACTGTTTTTGAATTTACAGTCACTACCACTGCCCAAGTGGTCTATGATGCACAGTCAGGTAACTTTAGTTTATTGGGGACATTACTTTTGAACATAAAGTCACTCAGTAAGCACTTATTAAGTGCCTTTGGGGCACTAGGTAGGGCCAGGAAAATAAGAGAAAAATGAGACTACCTCTCCCTGTCTTTAAGAAGAGCCTCCCAGGGAAGGTTTTGGAAATAGAAAATTAGAGAACTGTGAACAGGAACTGTGAGAGCAAAAAGGAAGGAGTGGTCACCTGCAGGCTTTGGAGTAGATGACAGCCACAAAGTGGAGGTGATAAGTGAAGTTGTTTTGACCTTTCTTGGAGTTGTGACACCAAATATTTTACTCTGGTATCTCCTCCCTGTGCTTCAATCTATCACTACATAAAAGTACCTATTCAGGGCTGACACTAGGCACAAATATCAAGTAGATTAAATCTTCTCCCATAGCCCTATATCCCTTCCCTGTCAATTCCATCAAAGCTCAGGAATGTTCAGTCAGGGTCTTGGCAGGAAACAGCCTTCACTCCAAATGAGTGACATGAAATGAGTGATCATAATGAGGGGACTCCTTGCAAAGGTATGAGAAATGCCAAGGAAACTAAGAATGATGATGGGAACCCCAAAACTAGAAACCACAGGAAGCCATTGTCACTCCTAGAACTAAAGAGATAACTACACCAAATAGGTTTACTGAAGCCCAGTGGGACCTCGAACCATAAAGAAGGGGTTTTCGTGATAAACTATATTATGGAGAGGTGTACCTACATCAGATATTACAGAAATGCGAAGGAGCAACAAAGATATATCTCAACCCTCTTTCCTCCTTTTCTTCGGTCTCCCTTCTTTCAGTGCCTCCCATTAGGTGAACCCACACATGAATCAGCCTGGAAGGGAGACTGGGTGGTGTAGTCTGTAGCAATTAGCCTTCAGGATGTGAAAGAGAACAGAGAAAAACAGAGTGTAAGCAGTGAAAAGGAGAAAAATCAGCACTAAATGGTCTCCTCTGTGCTTTATACCTTACTTGTTTTTTTCTCATTCCAACAATTATCAAAATTCCAAGTGTTCACATTCAAGGGTACCATAGCATTGTGGAAAAGCCCTGGACCTGCGATCAGAAGACTGCTCACTATGTGAATGGAATCAATCTCTCTAGGTCTAGAGAAAAATTGAGGGCTTATCTTTAAAGGGGTGTTAGCCTACCAGAAGGGTCAGTGAGATCATCATATGGTATAATATGTTTAAGAAATATTCTCATATTATTGGTGAGTTATTTGTGGATTTTATGCAGGTAATATAAACTTTTTACTTCTAGAGGTATCATCCTTTAAGTCCCTCCTTCCTCTTTTCCCTTCTGCCTCTTACCCTCATCACCAATCTTTCCCATTTCTGAATTAATGATGAGACTTCCTGGGTTAGTTTTTCACAGAAGCAGAGACCTTGTGTGTCTTGTATACTGTCATATCCCTAAAAGTGCCTGGCACATAGTAGAGCATCAACCAATATCTGTAGAAATGATACTTGGATGACTTCAAGGAGCTCCTTCCTGGCATGTTCATCAGTCACCACCTCCAGAGGTGGCCAACCCCTCTGAAGTATGAGCACTCTGCCCAGAGCAGTTGTGTAGGACAGAGCACGCTGATGCCCCTGCTTCCCCAAAAGTTTTTTCATGTATTTGAGGAAACAGAAAGCTTCTGCTTCCCCACTGACATGAATCCCCTAAACAATTAAAAACTCTTACAGGGGCCGGGGATTTAGCTCAGTGGGTTCGCCACCTGCTGCGCAAGCGCAAGGACCTGAGTTTGATCCCGGGTACCAAAAAAAACAAAAAAAACCCTCTTCCTTTTACTCCATTAATACTTCTTACAACCAGTAAACAAGCCCAGAGCCATAGTTTCATCTTTCTCGGATCTTTTGTTACACAAGCCTTGTGGCACGGAAGAGAAACAATGATAAATGTGAACAATGGATCTGCTCCACTGTTTAGTGCCCTGAAACTCTGACTACAACCCTCTGAGACTAAGTTAGAAAAACAGAGAAACAAAAGTTTAAAAAGAAAAAGAAAAAAAGGGGGGTGGGGATATGAGGAAAAAAGCAAGGAGGCAGCACTCAGAGGGAAAGTGAGGAAGTTACCAGAAAAGTCTTTTCAGAGCGGCTTCCACCCACTCAGAAGGTGAGTGACCTTATAATCCTACAAATAATATACCAGCAGCTGGCCTGTAGCTACTTCAAGTTCTGTGTGTGATACACACACGTTTCTGTCCATGGCTGCTTCATGTTTCCACAAGTTTTAGAAAGCAAAGCTGTCATTCCTAGGGTGCCTCAGCTTTAGAACTAGAGGCAAAGAGCATTTGGGATACTCACGAGCATGGGTGAACTTCACCATCAATACAGTGAGGAGAGGTAACAGGATCACCATCAGGCCCCACCAAAATGCTTCTCTTTGCAAAACAGTGACAGGTTCCTGCTGATCTTTTCGAGAACCTGTACTCCAATCCTCTTGGGTGATTTAGCAATGAGTAACACGCAGGACCCTCTACCAATAAGAATAGGGGAAAATATGCAGTGTCATCAGTTGCTAGGTAGAAGAGAGATGTTCAAAATGGAAGTTATAATTTTTAACCCTTTGTTGGTTTCAAACAAGTCTAGCTCTTTTGTGTGTTCTTGTCTTCACTCTCTTCCCAGTTTTTCAATATTTATATAGAACAGTTACATGAAAGGCATAGGGAAACAAAAAATAATAATACATAGTTATTCAGGGAGTTCAAGATGCTGCCTTTGCTTTTTCCCTGGAGTTTAGATTTTGCTCAGGAATCAATGAGAAAATCATACCAAATTTCCAGGGTTTGGAACTCCCTGCTCTGACTCCCCACAATGTCTGATATAGCTTGTAGCCCATATGTCGTATATAGATAGCGTGTATCAATTGGATCGTCCTACATTTTTTGGTTTAGGTCTGTCTTCCTTGAGACAGTTGCACCTAGCACAACAAATTGTTATTGAAGAGGGCAGGAAAAATACCTTAGAGAAGATTCTGAGGGGCAGCCCTTTAGCTTGCTCAATCCACAATCTCTAGGATCAAGGTGTGGCTACACTGTCATCAAGAGCACATGGCAAGCTGGAAAACAGCAGTTTAAGCTTCCCCGAGGAGCTGGGGAACAGGCCCAGATGGAAAAGAGGAAGTAGGGGTGAGTAGGAGAGAAGACTGGAGGCATGGCTGCGAAGCAGGTCAGGCCAGAGCCCAGATTCAGGGACTTGGTTTGCATCCCAGCTACTTGACTCTAGGCAGAATTTCAAATTGCACTGAGGCTTGTGGTCTTCAACTGTACAAGCAAATCCTAGCATGTATTTCACAAGAGTGTTGAAAGACGACTTGATGATGCTTTGTTTGTTATGCACTTGAGAAGTAGTAGAACTGTACTTACTGGTTTCCCTCTCTGGTAGCCTGGATGGTGCCTCAAAGATGTCCTCATCCTAATCCCCAGAACCTGTGAATGTGCTACCTTACATGGCAAAAGGGACTTTGCAGATAAGGATCTTGAAATGGAGAGATGATCCTGGGTTATCTGGTGGGCCCAGTGTAATCATAGGAACCTTATTAGAGAGAGGTAAAAGGGTCAGAGTTGAGGAAAGAGATGTGACGGTGGAAGCAGAGGTCAGAGCGATGCCACCACTCAAGGGTCATATGAGCCAAGGAACACGGACAGCCTCTAGAGCTGGTACGAGGAGCAATAAATTCTCTCAAGGAGCCTCCAGAAGGGGTGCAGCCCACCAACACATTGATAGTCCACAAGACTCATTTTCAGATCTCTGGCCTCCAGAACTGTGTTGTTTTAGGTCATTAAATTTGCGATGATTTTGTATAGCAGCACTAAGAAACTAGTACATCTCCCTTCACTCAAAAGAAAAGAAGAAGCCAAGTAATGAAATGACTATTTGGTGACCTCTGAGGACCTCTTTGCACCTTCTCTGTTCATTGTAGGTTTTCTTTTCTTTTCTTTTTTTGGTACGGGGGATTGAACTCTGGCCCTTGTGCTTTCGAGGCAGGTGGCAGAACCACTGAGCTAAATCCCTGGCCCTGTTCATTGTATTTTTGTCTTCCTTTTCTTCTTTTTTCCTCCCTTTGTTCTTTATTACTCATTTAACAAATACGTGTGTCCGTATGTCCCTCCCAAAGACCTATGAAAGTCTCTCCCTAGTGCTGGAGTTACATGCCAGTGTATTTGTTCCTTTGAATTCTTATTAATACCTTGTCCTCAAAATGCATATTGTATTCTTTAGAAAACAGGTGTGAAAAAATTAATTATGTGACCATGTCTTTCATGTTTAAGTAATTTTATTCTAACTGCAAATTAGTAAATTCAATCCAGAAAACCTAGAAAACATGCACAAAAAATTGCAGAGTAGTAAGAATCACTTGGAGAAAACCATTGTTGATATGGATCTTTTCAGCACTTTTGCTGTAAATATGTATGTATCCTTTTTTGGGTGCATTTTATCAAAAAAGGGTTTCATATCTTAATACTATTTTGTAAATTCTTTTTCAAATTGATATTTCTCAATATCAATATGCATTTTTTTTTTGGTACCAGGGATCGAACCTGGGACCTTGCGCTTGTGAGGCAGGAGGCAGAACCACTGAGCTAAATCCCCAGCCCTAGTCCTTAAATTCTTGTTTTGTTTTTGAGACAGGGTCTTGCTATGTAGACCAGGCTGGCCTTGAACTTGTGTCGATCCTCCTGCCTCAGCCTTCCGAGGGCTGGTATTACAGGCATGTGTACCACAACTGGCTAGTCTTTAAATTTTTAAAAAAACAGATCCCATGGAAGGAGAGAAAAGGAAGAGAAGGGGAAATAAAAAGGATTAAGATGCAATATGTATATGCACCAGCTCCCTACAATGACTGTATTCATTATGTATCACATGCATTTTCTAATAAATACATAAGTAATAAAAAGAGAAAAAAAATAGCTTCCACTAGACCAAGATCTTAAAGGACAAGAAGATTGTCTCACTAAGCTGGGAGGATCGAGGTCCGGAAGAACAAGCCCTACTTTGGAGCAGTTCTCTGTCCTTGAATCTCAGGCTGTACTTTTCATGGTAGCTTGTGGTTGTCTTGTTCATTATAAATCCCTCTGTGTCTTTGATTTATTAACACCTGATTTATTATATGTGTCTTGGGGGGAGGTACTGGAGATTGAACGCAGAGCCTCTTTTGTTTTGGTACCAGGGATCAAACTTGGGACCTTGCGCTTGTGAGGCAGGCGGCGGCACCACTGAGCTAGATCCCCGACCTTTTTTTTTTTTTTTTTTGAGCCAGGGTCTTGCTAAGTTGCCCAGGTTGGGCTCAAAAATGTGACCCTCCTGCCTCAAACCCCCAGAATGCTGGGATTTCAGGCACGTGCCACCACATCCGGCTTATTACATGTATTTTAAGATAAACTGGACTCATTTGCAAATGGTGACAAATCATCCTCAAAAACCAGAAGACAAATTACCAAGTTATCAAAACAAATCTTATTTATCCAATAATGTCTTTCAGTATTTTATCACATTCAATAATTAGTTTCCTTTTGGCTAATTTTGTTTGCTTTAGACGCCTAAAGGTTTGTGTGTGTGCGTATGGATGCAGATGAAGTGATCTGTGCCATTTCTGTAGGGAGGTAAAATTCTCTCACCCAGTTTTGGTCAAGGCCAGCCCTTGTCTGAATGGGCAGCGGACAACATGGGTTCAGGAGTCAGACAAACTTGTTCTCAAATGAGGCTCTGCCACTTCCTACCTATGTGATTGCAGGCAGACTACTAACCCCTCTAAGCCTCAAATTTCTCCAGTAGAAAATAGGGAAAGTAACAATATCTGCCCACTATGCTGTTGTGAGGAGTCAATAAAATCTCCCTTGGTAGAACTAAGAGGTGACTTGTTATTTGTTGAGACTCGAGATTATTACTACACACATAGAGTCCCTATCAGTACTGTTGAGCCATCTCAATAAACGTAGAATTTAAAGAAAGAGAATGGAGTTGTCGTACACCCTCAGTCCCAGCCCCCTATCCCTGCAGTGCAACCAAACTACATTCTGGAGAGTTCCCACATAGAAATTCTGGAGTTGATTCCAAAGATAATGCTTGTATGTCACTTAGTACTTGGTCTGCCTGGTGCATAGTAAGTCAATGCAGGCGATCAGCAATACTACAACCGTTCACTCAGTAGTTCACTGAGATCGTGGTTTTTCCTTCTCTATGTGTGAATGAATTAATGAAGGATGATAAAGATCATAACTACCCTTCCTACAAAGTTGAAAGTTCATTGTCATGTCAACTTGACTGAATTCCAACAGCACATTTTAACATTTTAATACTTACCAATATTCAGTCAAACACTCCTAACTTTCCTTATTCTAAAAAAAGATTTGAAAATGCTAACTTCTGATGAAGCTTGCTTTCTTTCTTTCTTTCTTTCTTTCTTTCTTTCTTTCTTTCTTTCTTTCTTATTGAGACAAGGTCTTAAACACTACTAATGTACTTTTCCATAAGTGGTCACCTGGCTTTTTCACTTACTTTTTATTTATTTTTCTTTTCTACTTTTTGGATTTCTGATTATTCAAGTAAACATTTCATTATTGAATGTTGCCAAAATTAATTTTATTTTATTTTATGGGGAGGGGATTGAGATACGGTCTTGATTTGTAGTTTAGGCTGGCCTTGAACTCACTATGTAACCCAGACTGATCTCAAATTCATGGTGATCCTCATAGTGATCCTCCTGCCTTAGCCTCCTGAGTGCTTGGAATACAGGTGTTTGCCACTATGCCCAGCTAAAGTTGCCAAACTTTAAATACATTTCTCTTTTCTATGTATAAAAATTTTCTACATACAAAATCTTTTCTATGTATGAAAATGTATAGTTTAAAACATCTCATTTATACAATTTTGTATCATGCTGTTTTCACTCAAGCCATTCCCATGTCATTACATACTTTAAGCCACTAGAACTTTAAGTTCTAATGAGCATCAATAGCTACTCCACAAATTCTTAATCACTTCTTAGTGTTAAATATGTAAGCTGACCAAAATTCTTCTTTGTTTACTTTAAAACAGAGGGTCAGGGTAGGAGTGTTGATCATAACCAAGGAGAGGAAAGAAGACATAGCCAGGCTGTGGATGCATGTGGGTACTCCTGTGGGTCAGGTGAAAATGTGGACAACCACAACTGGATCAACTGAACTTAACAGAGCAAATGTTTCCCAGAGAGTCTCACAGGATACACATGCACATTGGGGTTCTTCAGAGTTGGAATAATGATGAAGATTACACTACTTTACATTTAGGTAACACTTTTCTCCTTTCTCCTTTACATCTATTTAACACTTTTACTGTATCTTGTTTCACAGAAGACTTAGAGTGAATCAAACAAAACAAATAACCCAGTTAAAAGACAAGCAAAGGACTTGGATGGATGTTCTTCAAGGAAGATACAGAAAGGGCCAATAAGCACACAAAGGGC